CGAGACTAGCCTGGGCAACATGGTAAAACCCTGTCTCTACTAAAAATACAAAAATATTAGCTGGGTGTGGTAATGCATGCCTGTAGTCCCAGCTGCTTGGGAGGCTGAGGTGGGAGGACTGCTTGAGCCTGGGAGGTAGAGGCTTCAATGGGCTGAGATTGTGCCACTGTACTCCAGCCTGTGGAATAGAGTGAGACCCTGTCTCAAAAAAAACAAAAAAACCAACAAGTTATAAATGCACACTGCTCAGCCAGAAGTATATGGAAGAGGCATAAGGCATAACCTTGGTGAGCAGGTTTCAGTTTTGCAACCTCCCAGAGTCACTGCTGGGTTCCCTGTCTTGATTGGGCCCTCAGAACTGACTCACTCTAACCTCACTTTGCCTCAAAATTATGTATCCTTTCTAACTGCTGGTTAAAGAAATTTCAGCCTCTCCTCATTTCTCTTGGGAGGAAGCAACTGAATGAAGTGAATCGAACGTTTCATTTGCACTCACATTTGCTAAGTGAGAAACCCTTATATGTCTTTTTAGACTTTCCATCGCTTAGAATCTATAGCTCTGGTCTTTCCTTTGTCTCAGAAATTGGATAGACCTAAATGTAATGAAGCCATCCAAGGTAACATCCAGTTTACAGAACATGTGTGAAACGGAGAAATGAGCTAAAATCATCAGAAAACAAACTCAGAAAATAGGACATTTTACAGGATACTGGGGCTGAGAAAGCATTACCTCAAAGACTGGCCCTTTGATACGCCTAGAGAGGCCTTAGACGCTGCTTCAGAATCAAGGTTCCTCTAACTTTGTCTTGTTCTCCCATCTCCTCAGCCCCTACAAAGACAATGTAGAACAACAAAAGTGGGGAGAATGGTGGTGTCCTGGAATAGTTTTTGTTTTTTTTTGTTTTCTTTTTTTTGAGACAGGGCCTTGCTCTGTCACCTGGGCTGGAGTGAGCCTGATCACGGCTCACTGCAGACTTCACTTTCAGGGCTTAAGTGATTCTCCTGCCTCAGCCTTCTGAGTAGCTGGGACTGCAGATGTGTCTCACCACACCTGGCTGTTTTTTTTATTTTTCCGTAGAGACAGAGTTTGACTATGTTGCCTAGGCTGGTCTCAAACTACTGGGCTGAAGCGATCTATCAGCCTTGGCTTTTCAAAGGGCTGGGCCTACAGGCATGAGCCATTGTGCCCAGCGTAGAGATTTTTAAAACCAACTGCCAGCAAAGTGTGGTGGCTCATACCTGTAATACCAACCCTTTGGGAGGCTGAGGCAGGAGGATCACTTGAGGCTAGGAGTTTGAGACCAGTCTGGGCAAATTGCGAGATCTTGTCTCTGCAAAAAAAATTTTAAAAAATTGGCTGGGTGTGGTGGCGTGCACCTGTAGTCCCAGCTACTTGGGAGGCTGAGGTGGGAGGATTGCTTGAGCCTAGAAGTTCAAGGTTGCAGTGAACCATGATTATACCACTGCACTGCATCCTGGGTGACAGAGCAATGCCCTGTCTCTAAAACAAATAAATAAAAAACCAAATGCCTTGTATGGACCTTGTTTGAATTCTAATTGAAATAAACCAACTGTAAAAAATCATTTTTGAGACAGTCTGGGAAATGTGAATATGGATGATATGCAAAAAATGTGTTAAACTTTTCCAGGTGGGGTAGTGACATAGTACTTATGCTAAAAAAAGTCCATAATTTTTAGAGATGCATACTGAAGTATGCAAGGATGAAATGATGTGATGTCTGGGATCTGTCTCTAAAAGCTTCATAAAAGAAAAAGGAGGCCAGGCGTGGTGGCTCACGTCTATAATCCCAGCACTTTGGGAAGCCAAGGCAGGTGGATCATGAGGTCAGGAGATCAAGACCATCCTGGTTAACACAGTGAAACGCCATCTCTACTGAAAATACAAAAAATTAGCCAGGCATGATGGCGGGCGCCTGTAGTCCCAGCTACTCGGGAGGCTGAGGAAGAGAATGGCGTGAACCCAGGAGATGGAGCTTGCAGTGAGCCAAGATCGCGCCACCGCATTCCAGCAGCCTGCGCAACACAGCGAGACTCCGTCTCAAAAAAGAAAAAAAGAAAAAAAAAACGAAAAAGGAGTGGCAGGTGCAGGGGACAGAGTTTGGGGAGAGAAGCAAGTGTGACAAAATCTTGGCAATTGCTCCATCTGAGCGATATGAATGAAGGGCCAGTAGACCATTGGCTCTCCTATTGTGATGGCTTGAAAGATTTCATAATCATGTATTCTTAGAAAGCGAGTGTAATATCGCTTGAAACCTTTGCTTCTGTGTCTTCTTTTGGCTCTAGCCCTACACTGCCTTATCTTTAGTCACCATATGACTATTTTCCTCCCACAGAGCCCCACCTCTAATGTGCTTTAAGTCTAAGGCAGCCAAGAAGGAACCATTAAAACAAAAAAAAAGGCAATGGGCAATGTTTCCAAAGCCAGCTAATGGTCACTAGCCAATTCCCTTCCGAACTTTAATAGTGAGACTGTGAGAGAGGAAACAACAGGCTACTTGCCACAGGACTTGGGATTCACAAAGACAAATTTTCTACCTCATGTTTAGAGAAAACTAGATGATTTCTCCTGATTTTATCATATTTATTTGCTCCCCTAAAAAACAAATGAAGAAAATATGAGGGAAATCTGGTGGCGGAAATTCACCTGCCAATGTAAGGCCAGGAAATTCATATTGGTAAGAAGCCCATCTCTCTCAGCCTTATCTCTGTCCCTCCTCCCAAGAGGCCTCACTGGCATTAGGTTCCCTGCACTCAGGATGAGAGTCAAACGAGGCTGAGGAGGCAAGGGACATGGAACACCTGCTCTAGAGTCTAAGTTCTTAGGAAGCAGCCACTCCATCCAACTGTCCTCCCTTCTCTCCTTTCCCATCCTGACCTCCCCTGCTTCCCACAGCACGAGGCCTCACAACACACAGGTCACAGCATTGGAGGCTTGTGTGCCACTATAAGCTTAGGACCCTGCTTCATCCTTTCCCATACCTCTACCCAAATTACTATTTTAAATATGGTGTTTTAACCTAAAACCTAAAGTATAAACATTTTAACTTATACATCAACTTAATCTGTGTTATGGGTTGAATCGTGTCCCCCCAAAAAATATATTGGTGTTCTAACTCCTAATACCTGCAAATGTGACCCTATTTGGAAATAGGGTCTAACAGATGTAATCAAATTAAAATGAAATCATACTGGATTAGGATGAGTCCTAAGCCAATACCTAGTGTCCTTAAGAGAGAAATTTGGACATAGAAACATACACAAGGGAAAAGGCATGTGAAGACAGAGGCAGAGATTGGAGTGATATATTTACAAGCCAAGGAATGCCAGCCACCACTAGAAGGTGCAACAGGCAAAGCATGACTCCCCTTGAGCCTTCAGAGGTGCAATGCTGCTGACACGTTGATTTCAGACTTCTGGCCTCCAGATTGAGTTATAAACCATTCAGACTGTGGCAATTTGTTGTGGCTGTCCTATGAAGCTAATACCACATTTCAGAAACATTTATTCATTAACCCTCACCACCACCTGAGGCAGTAAACATTACTAACCCTATTTCCGGCTGGGGGCACTGGCTCCCACCTGTAATCCCAGCACTTTGGGAGGCTGAGGTGGGTGGATCACTTGAGGTCAGGAGTTCAAGACCAGCCTGGCCAGCATGGTGAAACCCCGTCTCTACAAAAAATACAAAAAATTAACCCAACGTGGTGGCGCATACCTGTAGTTCCAGCTACTCAGAAGGCTGAGGTGAGAGAATTGCTTGAACCCAGGAGCGGAGGTTGCAGTCAGCTGAGATTGTACCATTGCACTCCAGCCTGGGCAACAGAACCACACTTTGTTCCCCGCCCCCTAAAAAACCCCCCAAAACAAACTAACCCCGTTTCCTAGGCAATTTCAGTGCCATGCCTAAATAGTGGAGAGCGAAGAGCTTTCAACCTGGGCTGCATGGATTAGAGCCCACGTTCTTAACCATAAGACTAAATATCCCCCCAACTTCTGCTTCTTGTATAAAGTAATGGCTGTTTCCTGGGTTTTTTTTCCCCTAATACAGAGTCTCATGCTGTCATCCAGACTGGAGGGCAGTGGCGTGATCTGCAACCTGCGTCTCCTGGGTTCAAGTGATTCTCCTGCCTCAGCCTCCTGAGTAGCTGGGATTACAGGTGTGCCCCATGATGCCCAGCTAATTTTTGTATTTTTAGTAGAGATGGGGTTTCGCTGTTTTGGCCAGGCTGATGTTGAACTCCTGGCCTCAAGTAATCTGCCTGCCTCAGCCTCCCAAAATGTTGGAATTACAGGCAGGAGCCACCGTGCCTGGCCATCTTTCCTGAATTTTAAAGAAAAGATTTGAGTACACAATAAGAATAGCTATAAAAGAGATAATAAGTGTTGACAAGGATGTGGAGAAACTGGAACTCTCATATACTGTGGCTAAGAATGGAAAATGGTATAGTCACTTTGTCATCCAGGTGACAGGGTCTCACTCTGTCATCCAGGCTGGAGTGCAGTGGCATGATTTCAGCTCACTGCAACCTCTGCCTCCTGGGTTCAAGTGATTCTCATGCCTCAGCCTCCTAAGTAGCTGGGATTACAGGCACGTGCCACCACGTCCAGCTAATTTTTGTATTTTTAGTAGAGACGAGGTTTCACCATGTTGGCCAGGCTGGTCTTGAACTCTTGACCTCATGTGATCCACCCGCTTTCGCCTCCCAGAGTGCTGGGGTTACAGGCTTGAGCCACCACGCGTGGCCTACAGACTGCATTTATATGAAGTATCCAGAAAAGGCAAATTTATGAAGACAGAAAGCCTATTAGTGGCGGCCTGAGGCTGGGAATGAGGATTAATTACAAATGGCATGAGAGATCTTTTTGGGGAATAAAAATGTTCTTAAAGTGATTTATAGTAGTGGTCGCATCATTCAGTAAAGCTGTTTTTTTCTTAAAAGAAATTAGGTTTCAGGGACCTACATAGGTCAAGAACCAGCCACCCTAGAACTATTTTATTTTAGAAAAGGGTTCAGTCCATTTTTACAAGGCACAGGTAAAGAAAAAAGAACTGTGACAACACCTTTTAGGCTTTCAATGATAAAGTTCAATAAATAAAGTAAAACACTTTAATTGCAGGGAAAAAAAAAATGCCAGAATTTAGAGGTAAAACAGTACAGGGGCCAAGATCAAAAAATTTTATCTGGACATTCAGAGGCTAGAAAGCCACTGTCCCATTCTCCAGAGCCTCTGAGAAGTTGATTGAGAACCAATTAAAGACGGGCATCTGTTCCTCTCATCCTACCATCACCTCAGTCATTCTGTGACCTGGTGACAGTGACTCATCTCCTCACATCCAGTCTTCCCTGGCTGGAGCTCCTCAGGCCCGGCAGGCAGCTTACAGCTTCTCTGGCTTTGAGATTCCTTGCCCAAGAACATACCCAAGGAGACACTGTGGTGTAGGTGCGGGGCTGAAGTACAGCCACCTAACAGAGCTCTCCTGGGAAAATGCCTTTCCAAGTAGCCTCTCAGGGTATGCAGAGGTCTCTCCTAACACCCCAGTGTGCTCTATGTATTGGTGACATCTCTTTTGGAGATTCTGAAGGCTCAAATCAGGTCCATATATTTTCTCCTTAAAGGGATTACCGAAGGCAAAGGCAACACAATTTCTGCCTGGCTTTCCAGGTAGGACATCATCTTACTGCAGAATAGTAAGCAGCAGCAGCAGCCCTTGGCAGAAACCAAGCAGGGCAATAGATTTCACCCTTTCCCAATCCTCTGTTGGTCAGGACTTCAGGCCCATCTTGGCCATCATCTCTTCATACACTGTCCACGCCATTGCTGCCATTAGAGTTCTGCGGAGGGCTCGGGGGATGCCACCTTGGAAGAAGCCACGTAGTCCATAGTCCTATGGTGAAAATAAATGTCAAAACTCTGGAAGCGAAGTAGCAATACAATTAATTATCCACTTGGTATCAGAGTGAGGGTCTCTGTTACCCCATGTTTAAGACTTAGTTTCTAAACTTTATGCCCAAAGTAAGAATAATGGGTCCAAGAACACAACCAAAGAACTTAAAAGTGTTTTTTCTTTTTTTTTTTTTTGAGACAGAGTCTTGCTCTGTCGCCCAGGCTGGAGTGCAGTGGCGTGAACTCAGCTCACGGCAACCTCTGTCTCCCGGGTTCAAGCAATTCTCCTACCTCAGCCTTCCGAGTAGCTGGGACTACAGGCGCCTACCACCACGCCCGGCTAATTTTTGTATTTTTAGTTGAGATGGGGTTTTCACCATATTGGCCAGGCTGGTCTCAAACTACTGACCTTGTAATCTGCCCACCTAAACCTCCCAAAGTGCTAGGATTACAGGCGTGCGCTACCGCACCTGGCCAAAAGCCTTTTTTTTGTTTGTAGTTGCTGGGCTTACCTTTTTAGGCCTGCTCTAGGGGAATTTCTTAGCTGAAAATCTTTATGCAGGGTTGCTGTGTACTTATGCAGTTTGTATACTGTACAGAAGCACTAAGCCCCAAGTAGAAAATGAAATCCAGGCAGAAACCTGCTTGCCAAGCCCGGGATCCTGGATCCAGGCTGAAGGAAAAGGTGCCCTCTTGTCATTTGTCTATCAGGAGGGAGTATCCTTTTGTAATTCACTGTATGCTCTTGGTGGCCCTGTCTTCATATGAATTAAAGAAAAAATGCCCCTTCCTCCTCCCTCATAATCTGGGTTGATTTGAAATTTCACATAGAAAATATTATTTTAAAACTTTATGATTTTTAGATATTAGAGGATAAGAACACACACTTTGGAGGAGGCCGGAGATGGGCGGGATCACGCGGTCAGAGAGATTGAGACCATCCTGGCGAACACGGTGAAACCCCGTCTCTACTAAAAAATAAAAAAAAAGAAAACTGCCGGGCGAGGTGGCGGGCACCTGTAGTCCCAGCTACTCGGGAGGCTGAGGCAGGAGAATGGCGTTTAAACCCGGGAGCGGAGCTTGAGCTGAGATCCGGCCACTGCACTCCAGCCTGGGCGACAGAGCCAGACTCCATCTCAATATATAATATAAAAATATATATATTATAAAATATGTGTACTCTAAACATGTGTCATAACGCGTTGTTCACTCATACACATGTACACATGTTCTAAAAGAGCCAACCCAGTGGCTTATGGATAGTATACAGCTACTGTAATTTTTTTTTTTAATTTAAATAGGGTTTCCTTACATTGCCCATGCTGGTTTTGAACTCCTAGGCTCGAGGGATCCTTCTGCTTCAGCCTCCCAAAATGCTGGGATTACCAGCATGAGCCACCGTACCCAGCCTCTACCATACTTTTTATCTTCAATAATACCATTTGTCCATTTATATTAGAGCAAGCTTGTTCAACCCGCAGCCCACAGGTCGCATGTGGCCCAGGACAGCTTGGAATGCAGCCCAACACAAATTCGTAAACTTTCTTAAAACATTCTAAGATTTTTTTGGTGACATTTTTTCTTTAGCTCATTAGTTATCATTAGTGTTAGTGTCTTTTATGTGTGGCCCAAGACAATTCTTCTTCCAATGTGGCCCCGGGAAGTCAAAGGACTGGACACCTGTATATTAGAGCAAACTGCTAGAATAAAACAATGCGTTTGTGTGGTTTTTTTACCCTCTGACTAAATAGTACTTTACTCTAGGTACTCTAGGTCCTCAATTAGAGTACTAATTTCACCCCGATTTCCTGATTCAGTAAGTCTGGGGTAGAGTTCAGCAATCTGCAATGTTTAACAAATATCACAGGTGTTCCTAATGTAAATGTCTCTGCCCCTCAAAAAAACATCAGTTTTGTGGTTCTCAACCTTAAAACATACATATTAAAATCACTGGGAAACATTAAAAAAAGAAGAAAAAATATGCTGGGGTTTCATGCCCCTAGACATTCTGATATAGTTGGCCTAGATTTTAACCTGGGCATGGGGACTTTTTAAAGCTCTCTAGGCAATTTTAATGTGAGTGAAGGGTAAGAACTACTGCTCTAGAAAGAGATCCTTAACCACCACAAGAACCAGTACTTATTCTGTAGTCTTACTTTGAAAATAAGTGTCACTGCTTGACCAATCCATTGAAACTTCAGTGGGTAAAGCTGCATATGAGTTTTGATAACATCTGCAGGTTGAGTTACCAGTGAGGCCAGAATACCAGCAAATATCCCACAGCTGAAATTTGTAATAGGAATAAGGGTTGCATCCACCTGGTCTGAAATATAACAAAGGTAACATGTGGTTATGGATCTTACATTAATCAGATAAAGGTCAGTGCAAGTTGCCCATTAATTCTTCCCCAAACCAAGAAAGGTCTGGGTTCAAATAAGGCTACAGATTGAAAACTTAAAGGTGCAACTAGTAAATTTATGTAGATGGAATGATGGAGTTAGAAAAGCACCTTTTTCAAACCACCATCACAATAATTGACTCAGGCAAGAATCATTCACTGATTTTAAAACGTGGGAAAAAGGATGTTTATATAGATTCAAAGTTATCTTCCCACAAAGATACTTAGACATTACAATGGGAAAAACAGGTGACTTTTCCGGGAAGATACCTGTCAGTATCTTATCCAAGTGATAAAGTGTTACTATCACTCATAATAGGTCAAATTGATGTTACGACCCTCGCGATATAAGGCAATGAGGATACAACATCACTTATGTGGTCCTCTTGCTAAAAATCTAATCAAGAAGAAATTGCAGATAAACCCACAATGAAGTATGCAACTGGCCTATACTCTTGAAAATAAAACACAGGATTACTACGAAGTACATTATTGGGACAATTAGAGAAATGAGAATACGGACTGTAGGTTAAAGAATTGGGCCACATGCCTGTAATCCCAACACTTTGGGAGGCCAAGGCGGGTGGATCACTTGAGCCTGGGAGTTCAAGACCAGCCTGGGCAACATGGTGCAACCCTGTCTCTACTAAAAATACAAAATTAGCCAGGCATGGTGGCATGCACCTGTAATCCCAGCTACTCCAGAGGTTGAGGCACAAGAATCACTTGCACCAGGGAGGAGGAGATTGCAGTGAACCAAGATCGCATTGCTGCACTCCAGCCTGAGTGACAGGGCAAGACTCTGTCTCAAAAAAAAAAAAAAAAAGTTATCTAGGTTAAACTTCCTGAGTTTCCTAAGATGGTTATATGACAGGATGTCCTTATTCGTAGGAAATAGACACTGCAGTACTCAAAAGTAAAAGGGCATCACGTTTCCAACTTACCCTCAAAGGGCAGGAAAAAAATATGTACATTGTACTATTCTTGTGGCTATTTTTGCAAGTTTATTTCCAAATACCAGATCGATTTTTTTTTTTTTTGAAACGGAGTCTCGCTTTGTCACCCAGGCTGTGGTGCTGTGCAGTGGTGTGATCTCAGCTCACCGCAACCTCCACCTCCCAGGCTCAAGCGATTCTCGTGCCTCAGCCTCCCAAGCAGCTGGCATTACAGGCATGTGCCACCCATGCCCAGCTAATTTTTGTATTTTTAGTAGAGACCAGGTTTCGCCACGTTGGCCAGGCTGGTCTCGAACTCCTGACCTCAAGAGATCTGCCCACCTCGGCCTCCCAGAGTGCTGGGATTACAGGCATGTGGCCCAATTCTTTAACCTACAGTCCGTATTCTGATATTCTGATTTTGAGTGATGGGCCTCAGAAATTTTTAAAGATGGATTGAGAAGTTAAAAATTGCCCATCTATGCTTCCTTATCGCCTTAATTTTCTGTCACAAAATAAGGCTCTGACCTGCAGGGTTACACCTTCTGGTGCCTGGGTAGAAGCAGCAAATCTCCCAAGGCACTCCAGCTGTAGCTGGTTACCACGTCATGATGGCGGGCATTCTGGCATTCCTAATTAAAGGACCTTGGTTGCAATTCCTTGCTCAAATTATCCATAGACACTTTATTGCATGCAGGTTCATTCTATGGATGTGTTTCTAGCAATACCTTGTTCTACTTGGGTCGATGTTTACTGTCCACCAATTTTGTTCATGTCTAGCCCAACCTGACCTAACTGGTGGAGTGGGGTGGGCTGGGCCTCCCCCAGTGACTGAAGTTTGGCACCTTCCTCTCTACCTAAATGGAGGGCTCAAAACTATGTTAACTGGGAACATAGCAAGGGAGATGAAAATATTATTTTTCTTCAAACTCCTAACTTACTACTGTTTCCCAGACTTTAACAAGAATCACATCAAGTGCTTCTTGAAAAATACAGATTCTGGCCGGGGGCGGTGGCTCACGCCTGTAATCCCAGCACTTTGGGAGGCCGAGATGGCCGGATCACAAGGTCAGGAGATCGAGACCATCCTGGCTAACCCGGTGAAACCCCGTCTCTACTAAAAAATACAAAAAACTAGCCGGGCGAGGTGGCGGGCGCCTGTAGTCCCAGCTACTCGGGAGGCTGAGGCAGGAGAATGGTGTAAACCCGGGAGGCGGAGCTTGCAGTGAGCTGAGATCCGGCCACTGCACTCCAGCCTGGGTGACGGAGCGAGACTCCGTCTCAAAAAAAAAAAAAAAAAAAAAAAAAAAAAAAAAAAAAAAAAAAGAAAAATACAGATTCCTAGGTTGTACCCCAAGGTTTCTCATCTAAGAGGCCTTGGATGTGACCCAGCAATCTTAAGATCAAATATGGGAAATATTGTTGCAGAAACTCTGCAAAGCATGCTTTATTTCCTTCCCACCCACCCTATCTTCACCCCCCAAATTATAGTGGTGTAAATACTGTTTGCCTTAATAGGATGTAAACTCCAAACGGCAGGGATCAAGTTTGTCATATTCACCTTTGCATCCCAGTTCCTGACACAATCATGATACGGCTCAGTTCCTAACACTCTGCTAAGAGAAACACATAGTCCCATATCCCAGAGAAAACGGTGAGGATCTGATAGTTCAAGGATAGCTCTTCCCCACACCTTGCTTTATCCCTACCATGGGGCACTATGTTTTTGGTCTGGTTGTAAAACATCAGGTAGATTCCTGAAAAGGGCGCATCTCGAAGGAGAGTTGCTGTCAGGCCACTGAAGAGGCCCCGGTGCCCCTCGCTGCGACAGATGCTCCTCAGGGCAGCGTAGATACTCTCATAGCCATATTTCCCACTCTGCAAAGAGAGCACAGAACCAGTGACTCACATGGAGGCGCTCCATTTGAGCACTGAACAAGCAGACTGCAGGTTATGGGGCATTACTGTGGGCTCTAATTCACATATGGCTTGGCTGACCACATCAGAGTGTATGTTAGATTACAAATCAGGAGTTGACATTGGTGGTCACTCCCCAGGAGCCCAATGGCTAAGCTGAACTATCCTGAGGCCCTAAAGCAGTCTGAACTTACCTCATAGCGCGTCTTGATTACCGTGATAGGTGACATACAGACCCCTGCAACAGAGCGAGAGCCCACCCCCAGCATGATCGACTCCAGGGCGGTTGGGGGATGGCCTCGCAAGAAATACTGCTTCAAAGAGTAGAGAGTGCCAAAGTAGATTCCAACGCCAGGCACACATCTCACAATGGACTGCAGAGAAGGTCAGAAAGAAAAGAAAATCAAAGACCAAACACTTTAAGTATTGTCTTAGCTGGGTTTTCCCAAAAGACCCCAAGATGATTCACATGTAAGTACTTTGTTTAAGGTGTGGAAGGAACACCAATAGGGAAGTGGGGGACATAAGACAGGAGAGAAGGCAGTCAATAAAGGATGTTATAAAGCCAGTTACTTCTATGGGCAACTAAATCCCACTGAGGAACTCTGGGAATCAGTGTAGAACACACCTCAGAGTTACTCCTCCAACTGAGTGGGGAGGGACATGGGATTTTAAACACCAACTCTCGTCTTTCAGTGGTTGAGGACTCTGTGGGTTTGGAAGTACACACTGCTTTGGGTTAGGAAATCAATATCACTTCTGTGATCTTGCTAAAAACGTAGAACTAAATCTAATCACAAAGAAACTGCAAAGAAACCCACAGTGAGTTATATAACTGGCCTATACTCTTGAAAACAAAACACAAAATTATTCTGAAGTACACTACTGGGATAATAGAGAAATCAGTATATAGATTTCTGATTTGGGTTTGGGCTGGGCACTAATTCCTTGGTGTGGGTCCCTAAGGCCAGAAAAAGCCTTTGAGCAAAGAAATGCTGGTGTGGAGGTACCATCCCACTTTTACTGAAGCGATTAGGGCAAGGGCATTCTGACAGGTGGGACATTAGGTACCTCTGCTGTAGAGACTATGCTGCCCTAATAAATCACATTTAAGCATAACGTGCAGATGCAACATATCCCTGAGCCTTCAAACAGAAGTTAGTGGTAGTATGAGAGATGGGTAGGAAGATCACGTAGGTACTCCCACCACTTCTGACTCTCACATATTCTTAAGAGCTGGTAAGGTGGATGAGAAATGGCTGGTTATCAAGGAGTGGGTGCAAGAGAACCTAGATCCAGATGGCAGCTTACAGGGGACATCCCTTTCCAAAGGCCCAAAAGACTCTCCGTGCGAACCACCTTCAAGAGTACAGCCAACATCCCAACACGTCTAGACCTGAAAGCAGACAAAATGGAGACAGGAAGGAAAAAATCACTCAGATCACTTCCTCATAAAACAATTTCCCACTCAAAGACTTCCTTTATAGATTCATTTTTAGGACACTTAACAATCTCTACAATGCACCTTGGAGATACTCTATGTGTTCATAGGTTGGCATACACATATTTGCTTATCCATTTATACTGCAAGGAGTGGGATTACCTCCTTTTTTTATGTACATTTTGCATACTTCCCACAGCACAGAGCTCAATATCCGGGCACAAAACAGACAATACAGGCTGGATGCAGTGGCTCATGCCTATAATCTCAGCACTTTGGAAGGCTGAAGTGGGCAGATCACTCGAGGCCAGAAGTTTGAGACCAGCCTGGCCAACATGGCAAAACCCCATCTCTACCAAAAATATAAAAATTAGCTGGGTATGGTGGTGAGCACCTCAATCCCAGCTACTTGGGAGACTGAGGCAGGAGAATCACTTGAACCTGTGAGGCAGAGGTTGCAGTGAGCCGAGATCGCACCACTGTACTCCAACCTGGGCAACAGAGCGAGACTCTGCCTCAGAAACCAAACAAAAACAAACAAAAAACCCAGATAATACTGATGTTATTTCCAGAAAATGCCCTGCTACTCTAATGCCAGGCAATCTAGTTATAACACAATAACACAAGCTAACACAATGAAGTGTAAATGTCACTGAGGCAGATTCCAGGAAGCTGCTCAGGAAAGGACCCCATTTAATTAAAAAGAAATGTCAAATATAAAAACAATTCAGAGAACATATGATTGGGCATGGCCTGTGTTTCTCTCTGAACATCCAACAGAAGGGAAGTTGACTTAACACAGTAGAGATATTCCTGTGTCTGAAAAGTTGCTGAAATCAGCTCCCCCAGTGAAATGCAGGGCCTACCCATGATCTGAGGGCTGGAGGGTTTGCAGGCGTGTTTTAAGGAGATCCAGAGGTTGGAAAAGGAGGGTAGAACAGGTCCCACTGATGGAGCCACACAGGAAAGCCTTGATCACTGGATGTAACTGCAGGACAAGACAATATTGTGTCAGTAGCTCTGCCTGCGTGAGCCTCACCTTTCTCCACACCTGATCAGCGAATTCCTTTATAATGGTCTCTTCGAAACTTACCTGGTGGTGCTTCATGTTTTCTTCATACCTCGGAGAAGGGAAAAGTATAGCCAGAAATTTAAAATACTGGAATATTGTTGAGGACACTGTAGGCTGCAAGAGGTATCTCTGGTCTTAGTATTGCTGATACACATATTGCTCAGTGGGAGCAAAACTATTTCCATGCCACTGACCGCTCTTCCCTATTTCTTCTGACTCAAAAAGTTACTGGTCATCTCCCTATGTTTGCAAAAGCAAAGTCAATTGAATGTAGTGCTTTCACTTTGAACTGATGATGTGCAGGCTCCCTTCGCTGTAAGACCTATAGGTATTTATAGGACCAAAACAATTTATAGGACCAAGCCAAAGCAAATGAAACCTTAAGCTCAACCACTGTGTAAAATTAAGTGCCACTTCCTGTAGAACCTAGTATTTCCTTCATTTAAAACTTTCCCCTTCTCTTAAACCATCCAGCTCACTGGGCCCTACACAGATCACACAGTCCTACAGACCAGTAGCCTCTCCAGGCTTTGCTGCCTCTCCTTCAACCCATGAATCATCATACACACTGACTAATCTACAGACACCACCTGGAAGGGTGGAACTCCTTCAAAGACTAAATGCATCTCCCTTAAGCGTGTTCCAGGAGCTGCATGTTCCAGGAGACGCAGCTTCCAGCACCGGCGTTACTATTACAGGACAGCATCCTCTTTGTAGACCCCTAGAACCCAGTAGTATCACAAATGACTGTGAAAAAGTACTTAAAATCCAACCAGTGACCTTCTTCCCCTTACTTCCCCTTCCCTAAAATAAATAAATAAATAAATAAATAAATAAATAAATAGCTATCTTCTCTGAAAATGCTTGGCAAATTCATCCCCAAAGACCTCTTCCTTTATTAAGTGGCATCTGCACTATTATTTTTACATAAATGATACTTTGTGGCCCTAAAACATTAAGATGAATATATATAAAGTTTCCATTATACACATCACATAACTATTTACCTGAAACTGAAATGTGTGTAATCTGCGGTATTTGCTTAACAGAGAAGAGAGTGCATCTCAAATTCCACCAAAGGAGCCAGTTATAACTGGAATTCCTCATAAGACTGTTGGAGGCAGAGGGTGGGGGGAACTAAGTCAGATCATTAAAAACTGGAGTTTACAACCACGATCCAATAACTTCTGAAGTACCAAAGGGTAGTCTGATAAGACAACAGGTAAAACCAAGTAAGGTGTGCATATTTCAGCAAGTCTGTATCCACATCGACTCCCTCTCCCCAAGAGGTGTCCCGCTGTTCTGCCAACCAATATTCCTATGAGTTCTGTGTTTCTAGTCTCTCCCAAGACTTTGTGGCATTAATGAGCCCCGTTTCTTCACACACTGGGCCTCTCGCTCCCACTGGCATCTCCTCTTCTGCCAGGCAACAGGCTCCAAAGCGTCCATCTTTCCAGCCTGATGCTACACCATCTCCACTTGCTCTGTGCCAGTCCCTCCGCAGGCCCCCCCCGGTTTGCTATCCAGCTAAATCTCCTCCACTAACACAGCCTCTGAGGGCTCACCAAGCACCTGCTGCACCCCAGGACCCCATTCCTGTCCCTGTCCTTATGTTACTTGGCCTCTCTGGTATATGCCATATGGCTGAGTGCCTCTCCTCGCAGTTTCTGGTTTCTCTCTCCTTCTCCTCCTTGGCCTGCCCTTCACCTAGGACTGCTCCTCTTATCTCCTTTCAGAGTAACCTCACCCATACCCAGGCTTCACACACATGCTAGTTACGCCCACATCACCAGCCCAGGTCAGCCTCTCCCCGGACTCTGCTAATGTCTCCTTGTTTTCAGTCAAATGGCCCACAGGCATCTCAAATTCAACATGTCCAAAATGGAAACCTGGTCAACAGTTCTTCTGCACTTGCCTCTTCTCCAGTCCACACGGGGATACTCCAGGAATCCAGGTTGGAAACCTCAGAGACACATAAAACTCACCAGCCTGCTGCTTCATGACCAAGTCCCACTGACCAAGCCCTCAGTCTTCCCAGTCTGGCCTCCACTGATCCATCCTAATGACCTCTGCAGCAGTCTCCAACCTCAACTATGCCAACCCACCCTCAACTCTACTCCCAGAGTAGCACTGGGCAAGGCATCTATAGACACCACCTCAAAATCTCATAGCATCTTATGAGCTAGGTATTTTAAACTCGTTTTACAGATTAAACTGGAGCTCACAGAAGTTACAAATGTGTCCCATGTCACAGGGATTGAAGCCACTGGCCAGGACTTAAAGTTCATACTCTTTTCACCATACCACCCAGTCTAAAGTGAAAATCCAGGACACTTAGGCCACTCAGGGCATTCCACTATTCACCATCACTCCCTCCTTGCAATGCTCTCTTCCTTTGGCTTCAGAGATTAATACTGTCCTGGTTTTCCTCCCACTTCTCTGGCCTCTCCCTTAAATGAACCATACTTCCATGGCTCTTTATCCACTTCCAGGGGTTCCATTTCCACCTCCCTCCACACTCTCAACCTCTCACTGGAGCTCAGTCTCACACAGTCACTTACTCAGATGTCCCACGGCCACCTCAGATGACACTTCCAAACCTGAACTTTTCTCCCACACCTCCAACCAGCTCCTCCTTCAAGGTGCCCTGTCCCAGTGAATGCCCTGCCATTTCTCGAGCCACCCAGCCAGAAACCTGAGCACTATCCTTGGACTTGGCCTCTCCACACTTGCTCACTCTACCTCCAAAACAGCTCTCAAATCCACCAATCCATTCCAGCTGAGAACCCTGTTATCTCCTGCCTTGGCGACTGCCATTACTTTTTTACTCATTTGTCATCTATATGACCCCTCTAATCCACTCTTTACCCTGCAGCCAGAGTCATCTTTTGTTTTATTATTTATTTACTTATTTAGAGACAAGGTCTTGCTCTGATGCTTAGGCTGGAGTGTAGTGGCACAATCATGGCTCACTGCCAACCATGACCTCTCAGGCTCAGGTGATCCTCCCACCTCAGCCTCACGAACAGCTGGGACTACGGGTGTGTGTCACCATGCCCAGCTAATTTTTTGTAGAGATGGGGTTTCGCTATGTTGCACAGGCTGGTCTCAAACTCCTGGACTCAAGCAATCTGCCCACCTCTGCCTCCCAAAGTGTTAGCATTACAGGTGTGAGTCACTGTGCCCAGCCTGAGTCAGCTTTTAATACTGCAAATTTGATCACACTGCTTTCAGGAATAAAACTCTTCAATGAAAGATAATGTTTTGTGAAATCTGGAGTTACTAGCTTAAAAACAAGACCAAAAAAAAAACAAAAGATGGAATAAAAATACAAGTAATGACAAACGTATTAGGAGCTACAGAGTATCCCACAAATTTGTCATTAATACTCATTGAATTATAATTTTAAAAAGCCCAACCAAACCAACACCCTTTAATTGGTTCATATTCCTCTCAGGATAAAGTCCAAACTGCTGGTTGCAAGGCCTTTCATGTATCACAGGGCTCCTGCTTACTGTTTTGTTTTGGCCTATGTTCTCACCTTCCCACTAACACACTCTGCAGCCATACTGGAGGACTCCACCTTACTTTCACCTCTGAAAACTGACATGTAGTTATGCCCTAGCTCCCCTCTAGCTCCCCAACTCCCCCACGTCCAAGTTCAGTGCCTCTCCTTCCGGCTTCTGCAGCAGCACCTGTCCCCAGCTCCCTTATGACTGCGTGTCCAAGACAGAATGGTCACAACTCCTGCCTGTCTTGTTCATGGTGATATCTCAAGAACTGACCTTGGAGCCTGGTGCACAGTAGGTGTTCAGCAGTGACAACAGAATGAATCTTGCCACCTAACAGGAAACCTAAAGCTCTCCCTTTGAGCGCAATCCCACAGGATAGGGCTCGGTGGGTCCTGCATGGCTCATCCCAGGATAGGTTAATCTCCTCCACCTCTCTCCAGGCCTCTTGCTCCAGCAAGGCCATAGGAATGACCTGCAGTTACAGTTTCTGGGCAGTTCTCCTAGGGGCTGCTGCCCCAGTGCTCACACAGGTGTTGTGTGGAATTTGTTTTAAAACAAATTTGCTGCTGTCCTTCACCTTCCCACCCTTGATTGCAGGAAATATCTTCCTAACATCTTTTATTTCACAGCACAGTGATTAGACATGTTACTTTGTACTTTTCCAAGTCCATTAGCACAGAGCAGATGTTATTTATACTAGCAGTACAGATCAACCTCTAATAGGCAAAAACAAGACAAGACAACAACAACAACAAAAACCACTCCAACAGGTAATATTGAATGGTCTTAAGATTTTTGTCAATGGTGAATGGCACACATCCTTTGCAAGTGAACTTAATTTTCAAAAAGTAGCTCAAGGCCAGGCGCGGTGGCTCACACTTGTAATCCCAGCACTTTGAGAGACCGAGGCGGGAGGATCACTCGAGGTAAGCAGTTCAAGACCAGCCTGGCCAACATCACCCCCTCTACTAAAAATACAAAAATTAGCGAGGCGTGGTGGCTCACGCCTCTAATCCCAGCAACTTGGGAGACTGAGACAGGAGAAATGCTTGAACCCGGGAGTCAGAGGTTGCAGTTGAGCCGAGATGGCACCACTGCACTCCAGCCTGGGCGACAGGGCAGGACTCCGTCTCAAAAAAACAAAAAAAACACAACACCTCAAAGATATTCAAGGCAAATAAAAAAGTCGTTTCTTTTTAAGGGGAGAAAGAAGAGGGCAAAAACAATAATACGCACACAAAGGAAATAAGTAGCACACAAGAGTGCGAACTGGATCCACAAGCAATTCCTACTGCCCTGATAAAAGTATCCTAAGTCCAATTAACTTCTGGAGGCGAGGGCTGGAGAGCCCTGAAAAAGATAAGCAGGTTTTCAAAGACGTCAACGTTAAGTCGCCACTGCCGCCGTCTCCGCCTTTAAGGATAAAAAAAAAAAAAAAAAAAAGTCGCATTTTGCCCCTACCTCGGGCGCAAGACCTCAGAGGGAGAGCCGCGGCTTCTGCGTGGGCCCCAGGCCTTCAGCGTCTAAGGCCGGGCTGCACCCCGACTCCACCCACCAGGCAACCACTCCGCCAGCCCCGCCTCCGCCTCCACCAATAGCGGCCCGGCGGCCCGGCCACGGCGACCAATCGAACGCCGGAGGAAGCGTGGGGTCGCCAGGTGACCACGCGCCGTCCCAACGGACCAGAAAGTTGGCACTCAGAGGTGCCGCCACGCCTGGCCGGCAGGTATTAGCGCCGCGGCCTGCGGGAGCACAGCTATACCGGGCAGCTTGCGGCGGCATCAACGGCTTCTCAGCTTCAGCGCTATTACCAGGCCTTGTGACGGTCCCAAATCTGCCCGGGTGCCCTCCCACCTCCGCCACTCCTGGCAGCCTACTCGCACCTTGTGGGGGCCGCGGGGACACACTCCCCGGCACGCGCCCCGCCTAGGCCTCGGCAATTCCTCCCTCTACCGGGACATCGGCCCTGCAGCGCCTGGCTGGCCCGCAGCTCCTGGCCTCTCCTCACTCCCCGCCCCCTTCTCAATCCCATTAGTCAAAACTCCTCTCCTGCCCCATCCTCAACCCTGAGCGCACCTTGGGGCGCGGAAAAGGGTCGCCGAGGCTTAGTAAAGCCCCGAATTCTCCTGCCAGAGCTCGCGGTTCGGAACCCTGCCCTTCCCCGCAGTGCCCTCACCATAAGCGTTTCCACCGTGTCTCCGACATCTTGGGGTTGCAGCAGCGACTGACGTGAGTTCTGAATCATTGGAGATGGGGCCCGCGAGTGCTCTGGGCCCAGGGTGCCGTCGACGGGAGCTTGGGCCCAGCCCTGGAGGCCTTGAAGAAGGCGAGGGGATGGCGCTAGCCCGGCGAAGCGCTTTAAGCCGAGGGCTCTCTTACGTCTGCGCCTGTAAGCACGCAGCCGCCGGGGTTCGGAGCTTGCTAGTCCAGGAGCTGCGGGCGCGGAACAATCCCGCCGCGGGAATTACGCGCCGCTCTTCACCGGCGCCGCACACTCCACGGCTCTGCTCTCCTGCCCATCCTGCCCCGCCGCAGGCTTCAGCACCGGAGGAGATGAAGTTCTGTGTATCCGGGGATGGAGGAAGCGCCGGAGGAACTCTGTAGAAGAGGAGATTTCGCTTCCGGGTGGGACGCTCGTCACGTGAGGGTGTTCTGAGCGCTACCTGGTGAAAACGCCCAGAACTGCAGGGTCCGCTCTTCCCTGAACCCAGAGCTTAATGGGGCGTCCGCGGGGAACTTTGCTTTTGCGTGGAACATCTGAATGTATTTACAATCCAGACTTGGTCTACCCAGTAAGGCAGCCACTAGCCAACGGGGGCTATTGATTTATTAATTGATACATTAATTTTAATTATTTTATGTTAAAAACCGAAGTAGTGTGGAATGCTTTCTCCTTAAACAGGCTTTTGTTTTCTTTTCAGGACCATATTTCCCTTTAAATGCTGAAAATTTAGTGTAGGAATTGATATGTACTGTATGCATAAACCACACGCTGGATATCTAAGACTGGTGAGGTAAAATCTCAGTTTTTATATGTTGAAATTATATTTTGGATATATCGGGTTATATGAAATATATTATTAAAATTAACTTCAGGCAGGGGGCAGTGGCCCAGGCCTGTAATCTCAGCACTTTGTGAGGCCTAGTCTGGAGGATTGCTTGAGGGAGCCAAGGAGTTCGAGACCAGCATGGGCAACAAAGCAAGGCCCCCGTCTGTAAAACAAATAATAATAACTTCACGTGTTCTTTTTAAATGTGGCTAGTAAAACATTTAAACTTTAACACATGGCTCCCATTACATTTCCGTAGTGTGGGGAAAAGAAAGAGATCAGCCTGTTACTGTGTCTATATAGAAAGAAGTAGACATCAGAGACTCCATTTTGTTCTGTATTTGAGATGCTGTTAATCTGTGACCCTACCCCCAACCTTGTCCTTGCAAGAGACATGTGCTGTGGTAACTCAAGGTTTAATGGATTTTGGGCGTGCAGGGTGTGTCTTTGTTCCTAGAAAAGCTAGGTTTTGTCCAAGGTTTATCCCCATGTGATAGGATGAAACAATGCTGTTAAAAGGTTTATCTCAAGGCACAGGATTTTCCTTCAAACTTATTGATGTCACAGAGATCCTTGTTCTTATGTCTTACTGCTGATTTCCTCCCTAAGAACGATCCTATTGTCCTGCCACTCCCTTATCTTTAAGATGGTAAAGATAATTATCTATAAATACTAAGGGAACTCAGAGACCGGTGCCAGCGTGGGTCCTCTGTAAGCTGAGCGCCGGTCCCCTTGGCCCCCGCTTTTCTCTATACTTTGTCTCTGTGTCTTATTTCTTTTCTCAAGTCTCTCCTTCCACCTAACGAGAAACACCCACAGGTGTGGAGGGGCAGGCCACCCCTTCACCGTAGGACAGCGCTGGTCTAGTTGGTTAAAATTCTGGTTTATTGCTCACCTGGAATCTGTCAATGGCTTTTTTGGTCTCCCAACTTTCCATTATGCCTGTCTGGCTGATCCATGGAAAAGCATTACTGCTGGGATCCTGACACTCCTGTTGAAAATGCAGGCATACACTTTCAGTGACCCTGGTAATCTGCAGAATAAAGTCCAAGCTTTTCATGGCAACCTTCACTACTTTCCACATTCATTCATTACCCAAGAACTAGATCAGAAAAGAAACTGATGACTTAGGGAGCAAGATAATATTTTTTGAGGCTTCATTCCTGTGCTGCTGAGGTACATAGAACAGGCAAGAAAGGGGTCCCAGAGGAGATTATTCCCAGAGAGTATTAAGGAAAGTATAAACATTAAAAAAAAAAAAAAAAAATTCACAGGCCGGGCACGGTGGCTCATGCCCGTAATCCCAGCACTTTGGGAGCCCGAGGCAAGGCGGGCGGATCATGAGGTCAGGAGAGTGAGACCCTCCTGGCTAACACGGTGAAACC